CATGTACAATTCTTGCAAAGGATCCAAATCTATTTCAAGTACCCACATAGGGCAGTTCAAAACAACCTGTAATTCCAACTCCAAGTGATCTGAAGCCTTTGTCCTCTGTGGGAACCTGCACGCATGTACACATACTTACATATGTACACATAATTACAAAGTTTAAACACAGCAAGTGAGAACAACAAACAAACAAACAAACAACAAAAGAACTCAGTGTACAAATCACCACTAGTATCTTTTACTTCCACTGAGAAGATACTAAGCAGATGCCTGCTAAGTAGGGTACACTAAACAGACCCCCACTTCTCCAGGACAGGAACCAGAGCTCTACAAAAGCAGGACCTTAACTGCTGGATGTCTCCTTCTTACAACAGTACTCATTAGCTAACTTGTGGAATAAATATCACATCTTAGTTGGAGAAATTAAAACTAACTGTCTTATTTCAAATACTTGTATACTATGAAACAGACAAGTTTTAAGACAGGATAAATCCATATGAGTAAATGTATATTTTCAATTCTCAAGACCCTCCCCTACAAATACTCCGTCTTAGGGTGCCTGGTTAAATCCTATGTCATTGAAACTGCTCAGCTAATAGCTGCAAGACAAAGAAATTCAAGACAGAGTTAAGGCTATAGAAATGGTACTTAATTTTCTTTTCTATTGGTGAGAAGTAGAGGTCAGAAAAAATACAATGGGTGGAAATTCTACAACAGAATAAAATGATTCAAGGGAAGTCATATGCTCTAAATTACAAAGAATTAATGTTTAAGCAATAAGCAAAAGAAAAACTGTTTTGTAAAAGGAGTCTAGAACAGAAGTGGAGGAAGGGAGAGGTGGAGGGAGAAAGAGAAATTATTTCTGCCTATTAAGGAATCAAAATGAGGCCAACATTTACAATGTCTGCAGCAGCATTCAAGGACCAGACATGGAGGCAAGAAAGAATATGGTTATTTTAGTGATGTTTATATACTGAGATTTTCCCCACACTTCTTTTAAAATAACCATCTATTTAAATTTGCCTGGTGCAATACTTTGCAGCTAATTAATCACCAAGGAGTTATTTATAAAGTAAAAGAACAATAATTCCACAACAATATTTCATACAAGATTTAGATTTTCAAGTTTTAGCCATAAACCAACATTGATAGGTAAATGCTGCATTAGAAGACTTACAATGCATAGAATAAATGAACACATTTTTATATTCTGATGAGGAAATAGTCTACACGTAACTACAATTGTTGTATGGACTTGTCCTAACTTACTACTGTTCCTTCATTGTTAACATCAGTTAGGCCTCTTCTGAGAGTATTGTCAGGTGGCTATTTCCTCTGAACTGAAACATCTGTCCTCAAGGGAGGAGACAGTTTTCTGAGACTCAGAAAGCTAACAAAATGCACAAGGCTCGGCAAGTTGCAAGTTCCCCAAAGCTGCTCCCCCAGCTTATAGAAACAGTGGCCAAGGGCCAGGTAGAGGAGATTCCCTTCAGTGGAACTGACTGCATGTCATACAGTGAGCTCTAGCACAGAGCTTTCGAGATCACAGTGGGGAGGACTTTTCTGTGACGCAGTTGCCTCTGAGTCACAAGTGCCTGGAAGTAACTCCAATAAACTCACTGGCTCACTGCTTTAGTCATGACTTGGGTGGAAGCCCTTCTTGTGTGTCATTGATGACCTACCTTGTGTGGTCAATGTTTGTTTAAGTCACACAAAGCAAAGGCACACAACAAAACTGGTACCCTAACAGGGACCACCAGAATCTGAGATGAGTTCAGGGAGGGGCAGTTATACAGTCTCTGCAATGGGAGATAGAGCCACAACTGAGTCTGACCTCAGACAGTGACTCTGAAATGGTTACCCTTCTCCATGTGGTATGGGATGCTGGTTTCCCTCCCAGAGTGGGAGGTCCATGCTCCCTGAAACAGGTGGTGAGACATGCCAGCAAGTGGAAGCCATTTTAAAGGCGGGTATCTTCAGGGGGGATCCTACAGTGCCTGTCCTCCTCTATGTAATATGGTGTAACATACTTCCTTGATGAATGGGGTCTCGAATGAGTATGGGGTTGTTCCCCAAATGGCTGGTAAACTTAACAAGTACATTGCCATGTCTGAAAATAGCACAAATGGACCAGGATCAAAAGCAGGCTGTTGCCGGGGTGTTGCTTTGGACTATAAAACAGGCAACTGAGTCTCAGCTGTTCACTTAGAAAGAACCTGCCCATGGAAGAGTGGAATTACAATGAGAAAAGACACAGGCACAAAAAAATGAAAGATGGGATGGATGTATTAGCTTGTAGCTGTCAGTATGCACAGCAAAAAAGGAATTAGAATAAGCTTTTCCTGGGATCTAAACGATCTAAATAAACATGGAACCCATAGGAAGAGTAAGATAGGGAAAGAGTGAGATAAAAGTCATAGAAGACACCACTCAGGTCCCAGCTTTAATACAGAGGACAAGAAAACATCCAGTTCAGCATGCAGAAGGGCTAGTACAGCAAACTGTAGCAAGCAAAGAGCATTCTATTTCAGAACTGCTTGGGATAGGAAAGCTTTTAAACAAGTCACGGAGGAGTCACCCAGAGCTTGGCTCATAAGGCTGTGGGACATGGAATGGATGACATCCTGAATGGCAGCAAAGCAGAGAAACTGTGATGCAATCACTATGCCTCTTTGAGACTAGAGCTACATGAGCCAAGGAGGCGAGAAAGTCAAGCCCTAATGGACTGGCTCATACAGGACACCTGGCATTATCAGTTGAGGTCCTGTGAATCTCAAAGGACATCAAAGTTAGGATTTAGAAGGCCCAGGAGGCTAAAGAAACTTAGTGAGCTATCGAAGTTGCAAGATTCACAAGGTCAAGGTCACAAATGCAGTAAACAATTGCTTTAAGGTTTCCATGCTCCATTATTACATGTCCTTCCAGACTTTATTCTAATGATGAAGAGATGTTGAAAAAAAATAACATTGGACAGTAAGATTCTCTACTGGGTCACTTATGAATGCAGAGAGAGGGAGTCTGAAACGTCATACTAAGAGAGGAAGAGATTCCTTCTCATGGTGTGACTACAGGTTGTACAGGAAACTGTAGGATGAAGCTTTCCTGAATCTTCACTTGTACTGAGATGGAGTTTTCTGTGATGCAGCAGCCTTTGGGTCATCCATGCTCTTTGCTCTTTGTAAGCAACCATGGCAAACTTAAAGGGTCACGGATTACAACTCGCTTATAACTGTTTGGTCTGTAGTCAGTTCCCTATCTAGGGTGAACAAGCATTTGCTCTTATTCCCTTCAAGAAAACTCACAAAACAGGTATGTTTCCAACAAATAATGCCCTGTATATCTCAGAGCACAAAGGAGTATGTGGGGCCCATCAAACTCAATATTTAAACATTTCTGTACATTCTTGCAATTGGAAACAATTATTTGACCATATTCCAGCACTGGTATTTGTCACTTGAAGTAAATCTAGTCTAACACACTCAATTCCAGTTGTCTAAGATTCTAAACCTAAATTAGGTCACATCTAAACTCTGTTCTTTCTTCCAGTTGGAGTCTGCTAGTCCTCAGGGAGGAAGCATTCAGAAGTTAGGCTAGACAAAGAAATGGGCCCGAGGGGGCCTGACTTGTCCACAGACAGATGGTGCCAAAGAATAACACCAATCAGCTCTGAAAAGACGACTACTTAGCTAGTGACTTAAAAGAAAAATTAGACTTGGCTGTGTCCACATTGACCTGCAGCTGAATAAATGGTAGATCACACACTTTATAATATTATCAGAAAGCTATAGTTCTGAAACACACGTTAGAGTGCCTCGTGGGCACATATTATAACTATATTATTACAGCTCAGAGCTGTTACCCATTTCATTCAGCATTATGCATTTTTCAAAGGAAGTTTATTCCCACACTATATTATTTCCATAGGCTCCAGAATTCAGTTGCCCTTCTTATATAAAAATACTTGGCTGTTTCTACTGTTGAAATTTACTAACTGGACACCATTTTCCTAATTTATCAACTTCCTTAAACCTTAATTAGTGAATATTTGTGATCTTTCTCAGCTTCAAAGTACCAACAATCTTGCAATACATCCTTCTCCACTCTCCAGTGGAATAAAAAGCCTGGGCAGTATGAAAAGATCTATTTTAGGTTTTATGGATTTGACTTTCCTTGGCTAATTTGTTGTCCATTTTATACTAAAATTAAGTAATGGAATATGTTTTCCTTTTTTGTCCTTAAAACTAAACTATAAAGGTTCTTCAGTGTCTGCCCGAACCTGCTTACTAGCATGACTGGTGTGGATCTTTTGTTAGTTATCACAGATCCAACAGAGGGAAGCAATGAATGCTTCGTTGGGTGCTTTATGGTTTCCATGCTCCATTGTTACATGGATGTCCTTTCAGCCTTTATTTATAACGATGAAGAGACATTGAAAAGAAAAAAAACACTTTACAGTAAGATTCTCTACTGGGTCACTTATAAATGCACATTTAGGGGGATTGTGAAAAATCATATTAAATCTATGATGCAATTAATATTTGGCATGAAAACAATAAGAGCTTAATATTTTGCTTTTCAATAACAGGACTTTCCTATATGAGGAGATAAACATACCTAACATGAATTTTTCCAAGTATTCTCTTTAATATATAAAGCATTTTATAGACAATATTTCTTTGTTTCTCTCTCTCATAAGGTTTAGATTATGGTTAATATCTCATGACACCAAAAGTAATACTGCAACAGATATTAAAGCATTTTTTCAGCCACTTATTCTATAAAATATTAATTGCAAGCCCGTGCATGTGCTGTCTACATAGGGGATTGAGTAAGAGAGCTCCTGCTCAGGTCTAAATCAATAAAAGATACCATGCAGAGCATCAATCATCATCTTCTCTCCCTTCAGTACATACTACCTGCAGGTGGAAGATTTGAAAACTCTATCTTTAAGTCCCCCTTGATGACACTACATGCTAGAGAACCTGAGCAACACTTACCTAGGAAGGACAGGTTTTTCTTCAGAAGTAAGTCTCTCAGCAGGACTTCATGCTCATAGCCAATAGCACTAGACAGTTTAGTTAAGGAAGTAACACACACAGAAGGGCTGAACTATCAGGAAAATTCTACTTCATGTTAAGCTGAAATGGAGAGTTATGTTAAGTATACAAAAGCCTTCCTACTCAGCTTATGCCTTTGAGGAAGGAAATTTCTACATGCATTTTCCCCTCATTTAAATAAGGTAGCAGAATTTTTCTATAACACATATATTTCGGCCAACAACGATTTATAAATCACTGTGATTTTAATTTCTTTTAAAAATAGAGGAATCACTTAAAATATTCATTAATTTGTATTAAAAAACAGCCCTCCAATTCAATTTAGTACATATTAACTAAACAATCACTGAGTACAAGAAAGAAGAGTAACTAATCAGTCTTTGCTCTAGCTGTTTCCAGTCTTAAGAGTCCTAGAAACTTGTGAGATCCATTTGCCAGTCATCACCTTCTGCTTCACTTACAGAGGTACAAAAGCTGTTGCCTGTGTGCATGTGTATGTGTGTGTGTTATATTTTTAAACACAAGAACAAATACAAATGCACATGAACAGATGCACACAGGAACATATCAACTGTTCCAATGCTTTCTCCATGGCAGACATCATATCAAGTGATTGAAGTATGTTATTCCGTCCTCACAAGTATAAAAAGGCTTGTTTTAGCAGACAGGGAAAGGGACTCAGAGAAGAAACCGCAGGAAGCTAGTAAATGTGTGGGAACGCAAAGGGTGAGGGTTGAGAGTACAACCCAGTGGTACAGTGTTTGCCTAGCACTCTTGAAACCTGGGTCCATCTCTAGCAATGAAGGAAAACAAGTAAGAAAAGGCAGGAAAGAGCTCTCTCCAAGGCCTGTGTTTGATCACACTCCTTTCCAAAAGCATCAGAATTATGTAATACTGGCCACTAGTCAATGCTTCCTAAGGACCACAAATGCTTTATGCTAGATCTTTAAGGATTTAGCTAAATGCATAGCCTAAGCCTTTAAGCTAAACACCCTGAGATCTTATTTGAGTCTTCACAACAACTCCAAGAGTAGATAATCTTAGTCCCATTTCTCATTCATATAAAGTAAGGTTTAGAAATGCTGAGGACTGAGCTCAAGGTCCTATGGCTTATAAATACGGAAGGCAGAGGCAAAGTTTGCCTTCTTTTCTGAAGAAAGAGACTATTCTAAGTCTCAAAAAGTGTTCCACTATTCTGGTCCTTCAGACCAATTGAAGGCACTCAGTAGAAACAGTCAGGATCACCTCCTTCACTGTCCACCCCACCCAACCCCACATCGACAAATGAGTGCAGCACTCCTTGACTTACCAGAGATGGCTATTCTGATCATGCATTGCAAGCATTCAACTTAAATCAAAAGGTAACTTCTTTATCACCAGTTTAAAAAAAAAAAGTTACCCTACCCTTTATCAATGAATTACAGGTGACTGTCACTAAAATCTCCTAATTCAAGAAATGCAGTCACTTTTGTCCATGATTGAAATAAGGCCAAAGTCACCATCATTGCCCCCGCCCTGTTTTGTTTTTGTTTCTCTTCCAATGCACATGACTGCATTTGTTTAATTTTTTTAACTAGGTGTAAAAAAAGTAAGTGAAAATTTGAAATCGCAGAATTTCACACATTTTCTGAGTCTATTCAAGACATTTGATCTATAAGTCTCAATGGCCTCTCATTACCAGGGTATCCCACATTTTCAAACTAAATTATTTACTTCTTTCCCCATAAGTGTGCTCTCACTTTTGTTGTTGTAAATTATTTACGTCTACCATGTTGAATCATGGAACTGAGGTTACTGATGGTACAGCACAGAAAGCCACAGCCCCGGATGCTTCCTGAGTCCTCATCCCCCTTGGCTGCTCTGTCCAGACCTTCGTCGAACAGCTGTGGCCTAGAGTCCCACACGGGCTAGAAGAAGTGGCTGCTTCTTCACGGAGTTTGCTTGGTGGAAATGAGAGGCAGAGGCAAAGGTATGGGGGTGCGGGGCACATACTACACAAAATAAATAAATAAACAAACAAACACAGCAGGCACCAAAAGGAGAAATAAAGCACCCTGACAAGACATCCTCTTCACCACGGTGACTGGTGTGCCATTTTAGCAAGTGACCACTTTGCTTTATTCTCCAAACACGAATGCCTACAGGTAACATTTTCATAATGGAGTAAGGAGGTTCTGCATCTATTCCATTTACCAAATGTGTGCTTTCTTTGTAAGAAACTGATGTACTTTAGTGAGGGTAAGCAAAGCAAACAAACATTATCACAATGATCAGGACCACACAGAAAAGCATTTCTCACTTACAAAGAAAACCAATCATTTCATCCAGTGTGAAATAAAATAATTCCTGATGATCAGTCTAGGAAACATCTTTGCAAGATTATTTATAGTATATGAAACTGATACCATTTCAATGCAGAGATACAATCAGTCTCTCCACAAACTCCCCAGCCTGTTTTATTTTGCATAGTTACTCCAATCACCAATTTTAAATTTTCAAAAGATATACTTCTTGATTATGCTTTGTTTGATATAGACATAAAAATGCAAGGTCTACAAAATAAAGTTGATAAAAGCAGTAATTTTTACTGGTAATAAGCATAACAGAACTGCCAAAATTGGAATCTAGTCACTGAATACCATTTATATACATACATCATTATATTTATCAATTGAAATTATATAGTCCATTAAATCCTACTGACAATACACAGCCAAAAGAGAACATGAATAATGGCAAAAAATATATATGTATACAAGGAAAATATTCCAGACAGAATTTATAATGCTCCATAAGCAGAAACACTTAGACACTGTCTATAAGGATACCTATTATTGATGTATGGTAGTGACCATGGGGCAAAACTTGTAAATAACCTCACAAGCTATTTTCTTCGCCAGCAATACAGCAATCTAGTTTCCCGTAAGCATCTCAACTATTACTGAAAAATAGCCTCCTGGCATTTACAAAGCAGTTGACTTCATACTTTAGTCCATGCATATATAATTAGAGAGTTATATTTAAAATCAATATGCAATCCTTCAAAAGACATTATGCTTTTAAAACCTTAACTTTAAATTGATTTTTAACTATTTTATGTGCTTTGAAATTAGCATGTAATTCAGCCCTAGACACTCTGAGATGGTGTCAATTGTTATATAAATGTGCTGAAGTTTATCACTGAGGCAATGTGAGGTTGGCCCTCCTACAACTTTTAACACTACCATTAATTTCACACTGAAAATAGAAGCATAGTTACACTTTAGTCAAATAAAAAAGCCAGCTTTCGACAATATCATGGTTTGGTTCATTTTAGTTAAGGGACCAGATCAGAGAATGCATGATAAAAAGCTACGCCCTAGTTACTCAATATTCTTGTGAGGGGGCTCTGTTCAAAGATGATGCCAAATCTTAACTGTGTCTTTAGGAAAGAAAGAAATTTTCTTCTGAAAAAGCTTGAGCCAGGTGTGGAAATATACACTCGCAATCCCAACACAAAGGAAACGCAGGCAGGAGGATCGGGAGCACAAGGCCAGCCTGGACAATAGAGCAAAACCATGTCTCAGAAATGTTTTCCTAACTGTCTCTAAGCCTTTGTGAAACTAGAATTATATAAGTAAATACAGACAGGCACAAACATATATATGCACATGTAGTATGCACACACATATGTGCACATATGAATATGAATACACACATATATGTATGGATATGCACACACATATGTGCATGTGTGGATATGTGCACGCACACACTCAGTTTGCAAGAGAATTCAACAAAAATTCTGACTGCTTATCCCTTAGTCAGAGCTGACCCCTGTGTTATCCCTGCTATCAAAATCTAGCCCAGGAAGGCTGTGTTTTTAAATGATTTCCACCAAAAATTGTGAGTATTGTTTAAGAAAGTACTTTTTTTCCCAACGTGTTATCAAAATTCTCACTGTCATACCATATCATTTATCAATAATCTCGATTGAAATCACTGCCATTCATCCAGCCTAATTTTAAGAAGTAAGCATTAACTCCTTAGGAACCTCAGTGTCTTTAATAACAAATGACTGGACATCTGCTTTCACAGCCTTCAAGTCGGTTCCAAGGGGAAAATTAGCACTTTTTCTCTAAAAATGTTTATTAGGAATCCAGATGACAGTGTGGACTGCAGTCAGGAGCAAAGACAGTCTACTGCCCTTTAAAATGTGGTGGTCTCCGGTGGCATTTTAATAGCATCATTCTTTAAGTCTAGGTTCAAAATTTATTCTAGTACACTCACCTGAATTTGGCCCATTTAAAATGGAACTTTGTTACACTTTAAAACTGGCCACTGGGATGGTTAGATACACTCCAAGACAGTGTGTTCCCTGCCTAATGACTCTGCATCTGAGGCTCACTGGAAACCGAGCAGTGAAATAAACATGCAGATGTGCACCTGCCGAACTGACATCTTCCGGTGGCCTCGCTGAGCTTTCCTAAGCAGCTGCAAAGAGTGGTCTGCAGTGACCCTCCAGTTGATGGAATGTAAAATAGGAGAGGATGAAATGTGTTTTGTGAAGCAGAACTTTATGTCAGGTTAAAGCTAGACACATCTCCTCCACCGAGTCTGAGCTCGTCAATTGTGCACCTAAAATTTTATGGGGAAGGATACTGCTTGATGCAGTCCACCAGCGGTCCATAACAGCAGTCGTTCACAATGCACTGTGGACAAATAAGAGAAGGGTTATAGGCTGGGGTGACTACAAACCCACCACAGTAAATATTCTAAAAGCAGTCATTACCTTTCTTCACCCACCCCTCCCCAACACCCAAAAGAAAGCTATCAAAAGGCTATTCAGATTTAATCACAGAAAACAAAAATTGCATGCTTTTTATTTACTATAAAAGCAAGCTATTAAAAAGTAAAATGCTCTCCTCGAAAATATTGCATTGCCATTTATGGTGCGCCCTGACCTCAGTGATAGTTTATGATGACAGTAATTAAATGAGGTTTAAAATCCTCTACTCGGCTAGGCAGATAACAGCATCGCCACTGAAAACAGCTGTGATTAATACCTGATAGACCTGGTTGGCTAGAACTCCATCTGGAATCTGAGAAGGGTCCCGTAGCATATTATTTATAACAGACTTGGAGGCTGTAGAAGGAAAGAGATGAACTATTAGCAGACAGTCAACACACTTTTAATATGACATGAGAAGTGACGTATACCAAGGTACACACAGATCATGAAAAGAAAAACAGTACTGATACTGATCATTTCCCCAAGATTTTCATCTAAGAGAAGCTTTTAATTAGATCATTTTTTTGCCAAGTATTTGTAAGCTACATTGCCAGACTTGACAGTGACTTGATTTTTTCCAAGGTAAATTAACAAGTGTAGACCTAAAGCATATGTCTATTTGCAGACTAATCAGCTTTGGAAAAGCCAACTTTGGGGAAAGAAAAAAACCCAACAGCAATAACCAGAAAAGATTTAACTTTTACAGGTAGAGATCTTATTCCCAAGCACCTGTACTTGTACAAGTTAACTAGGGAAGGCCAGACTCCCAGGCTTCACCAATGCCAATAAAAACATCTCTCAATACTAAATCTGTCCAAATCATTCCCATCAACTGCCACCAGTTGTTATGTCCATTTCACAGGTGAGGAATACAGGTGAGACAGGCTTAGGACTGTGGGAATCTGAAATGAGGAAAGTGTGTGTGTGTGTGTGTGTGTGTGTGTGTGTGTGTGTGTGTGTGTTGTATGTGTGTGTGTGTGTGTACTATTGTCTTCTTGTAGCTATTATTTCTAGAACCCCTGACAGAGACCATATTCTATGAATGCTCAATTTCCTTATAAGAAAAACTACAGTATTTGTATATAACATACTCCACAATCTGATATATGTTCTGTCTTTAGATTGCTTGGAATCTAACTTAATACAAATGGCATGTAAAGCATTGTTACACTGTCTTTACTGAATAAGAAAAGTCTGTATATGAATACAGATATGATTTTCTCTTATGCATTTCCTATTAGTAGTTGGTAGAGTCCTATGTGTGGAACTTAAGAGTACAGTGTGGTGATATATTGTGTACCCTAATAAACTTGATTGAGGATCAAAAGACAGAGCCATCCACTAGATTGGACATAGAGGTCAGGCAGTGGTGGCACATGCCTTTAATCCCAACACTTGAGATCTCATGCCTTTGCTTGGAAAGCACACATGCCTTTAATCCCAGGAAGTAATGTGGAAGGGCAGAGAAGGGAATATAAGGTGTGAGGAAACAGAATCTAACTCTCTTTAGGCTGAAGATTTCATAGAGGTAAGAACTAGTGGCTGACTGTTCTGCTTCTCTGATCTTTCAGTTTTCACCCTCATATCTGGCTCTGGTTTGTTTTTTATTTTTAATTAAAAGACCATCTAAGTTTCAAACAACATCATAGAGGGTCTATCATTTGGGGAAGGCAGGGTGGATAGGAAGTAGATATATTTTATATGTAAATAAAATTTCCACCCCAAATATGTCTCATCTACCTGCAAACTAGTCTGAAATCACAGGAACCACCATGCTAGAAGAAGGGCAGAATGGAAAACATCATGAGAAGGGTGTATGTGAGGTGCCAAGCTATGAAAGCTAGGTAGAACATCCTGGTCCTGCTCCTGGTGCAGATCAATTCTGTTAAGAATCCTCCTATGGAATCAACATCAAATATTTAGCAGGATGGCTTAGGGAATGACCCATGCAGGGACCACCTGAATGCCACTTGTATAATTATCTAGTTAAGAAAGTTAGTAAAGGTCATAGCTGGGTGATTTTAGTACTTGGATAATTTAAGCTTAGTTTTTACTATCATGTTCTCTATCAACTTCAGTGGCCTTGGGTCACTGACAGATATGGGATATGATAGTAAACACTGTGAAAAGAAATAAGATGACAGCATCTTTAGTGTAGAACTGATTCTCAAAAAAATCATTTTAATTATTGTCTATGCTAGTTACACACTGCATGCTTATAGAATCTCTGATACACGTAACAGACATTTGCAAACACATGTTTGCAGTAATGGGGAGAACCCATATGGAATCTCAACAGAGCATCACCTAGCTATCTCATCCAATCCTGTCTTGCAACCAGTTCAGCAAACTAGCCAACAGTGTGGCCCCTTGCATTCAATGACTTCATCTGTAGGAAGTGATGCTATTATTTGAGTTGACTGCTCTAAACAGTTCTCATGTGAGTCTCTTGAGAAAACAGCTGCCACATCATTTTGTTAAAGTTCAAGTAGTAGTCTGAACCAAATGAGACTTAGATGTTCGCTGTATTTTATAAACTTGGGCTATACTCAATTATTTTTGACAGAAATTACCATGGATAAGTGGTATGGATACTGAGAATATGAAACAGTAACCCATCACCTTACTTAGGAACAGATGATGTGGGAACAGCACTGAGGAGACAATAATGTGCCTGGTGAACCTGCCCACTTTCCCTGGCATAATTCTAAAGCCTAGCCAGATGGTGGAGATCAAAGCAGTTGTTCACATGTGTGGTCGCCTTCTCTGAGAATACTTCCTTTGGTCTGTCACTCATTCGCAGAGGCTAAAGGCACATACCTCCATCTATTTTACTCAGGGAAACAGCAGCCTTCTCTGTGCACACCTGGTCATGAGGTGCAAAGGTGTTGCAATGTAAATTCAGGCCCATGTGAAGAAAACATTATTTATAGGCAAGTGTGACCCAAAGTGCTAGCCAGTGGAAAATTACTGACCTCTTAACAAATTACATGCAAATCCACTGTTCAAATAATTTTCAAAGGCTTTTTTTCAATAAGACAGTCAATGTTCCAAGATCTGAGAAATGTAGGTCATTTATTTGGAGAGGGAAAAAAAAAACATCAAAAAAGAGAGTAATGGTTTTAATTTCATCACAATGTAAACCTTTGAATGGTGCGCTTCTCAGGATTCAGTTGGGGAGTTGACTTAGTGGTTAACGTGCTTGCTATACAAATCTGAGGACAGAGTTTGGATCCTCAGAACCCACGTAAATGCCAAGTGTGAGTATGGTGGCCATGTTTTACAGCACTCAGAAGGCAGAGACAGGGGGCCCTCAGAGTGAAGTGCTAACAAGACCAGTCAAGCCATATTGGTGAACTCTAGGTTTGAGTAAGACAGCCTTTGAAAAAAGTGGAAGAACAATTGAAGATGATCTCCAACATCAACCTGGGGCTTTCACACGTACACACACACATACAACACACACACACACACACACACACACACCACAAAAATAGAAGAAAAAAGCCCCTTTAATATGTTGAAGAGAAAACATAACATTATGTTGGTTACATATAATATATTGATAATAAGTTGATTACAAAAGCAAATAACAAAATAAAGAGAGTTAGTTATTTTTAATTAAACTGTAAAACCTGCAAATTGAGGTGCACTAACTGGGGCTGGGTGTCCCAACCCCTAAACCTAAGGATCAGGGCACACTGTGGAAGAAGGGGTGGAAAGACTGTGAGAGTTAGAGAAACAGGATGCCTGCTGTGACATAGTGCCTTCTAGACATGACAAGGATGCTGTACCCAGGACATCTCAACAGTATCAGCAAGATGCCTAAAGATCTACTTAGTAGCCACACATGTCAACATGGATCAGTGAGATTTCACAGGGCCCCATCCCCAGGTGAAGAGCTACAGGCAGTCATTGACTGTTGAGTGGGAGAGAACCGGTTTTCTCCAGGGATGAGCCCTTTGACGTCTTTTCCAATTCTAAGTGGTCAGCTCTGAACACATGTACACAGGAGCAGCATTAATGGGCACAGTGTGGGCCTCCAGATTTTTGGACCATGGAGACAGAAAGCCTGTTCTCCCTTCCTGATGCTTTGCACTGCAGCAGATACAGATTTCTCCTTTTTAGAAAGAAGGCACAAAATAAGAATTCAAGCCACCTGGAGGCATGGCCACATGAACAGCAAAGGGCAGGCATTGGATAAAGCATGTCACAAGAGATGGCAGCAATGTTTCAACTGAGGCAGAATGCTTAAGACTGTGAATGAGTTCATTATAGAATGCTTCTAACATAAGAAATGTACAAAGTCAGTGTAACAAACACTCATGGAATTGTTGTGTGCTTTGACTCATGTATTTCTAATATGTTTACTTCATGTGCTTTAGTATTAATTTGTGTAAACTCTTTTCTGTTAACTTACATTTGGACTTTACTCTCTTTTTTTTTTTGGTTTTTCGAGACAGGGTTTCTCTGTGTAGCTTTGCGCCTTTCCTGGAGCTCACTTGGTAGCCCAGGCTGGCCTCGAACTCACAGAGATCCGCCTGGCTCTGCCTCCCGAGTGCTGGGATTAAAGGCGTGCGCCACCAACGCCCGGCCGGACTTTACTCTCTTATGTTTCATGTTCTGTCACTCCTTTCTTTTCTCTTTGTCAAGTTAAGTTTTACTCATTTTTTTTTCTTTATCAAGTTATTCCTTTGAAACCAATATGTTCTGCATCTATTCCTTTGGTCATCCTCTCAAAGTGTCCAATCTTTGACATTTCTACATGTAAGGAAATAAGACAGTACCGTCAGCCTTCAACACCAGGTCTGAGAGATGAACTAATCTTTGTGAACAGAAATATGAATTTAGAGCACAGCTTGACCTTTTACCTATTTAACAGAATAAAGATATTAGATTCACTCCTGGGTATGTGATCTCCTCACCCATGGGTTTTTGCTCAGATTTACAGTTCAGACATGTGCTCCCTCCTGTGAAGCAGGGCTTAAATCCAATCATAAGGTGGTTGGTTACCACTGTAACGTTCATGCCACTATTGCACCCGTGAGCATTTCTTGCCAGGGTTATCACTATTATAGTCCACAGGTGCACAGGTTAAGACCCTTGGTGACCTCTTTTCCCCCAGCAGCCTATGTAGCACCTTCTGGTGCTATGAAAGCTGGCCATCGGGGAGGAAATTTCCTGGTTGGTACCAACTTGAATCTTCCATGTCCCATAACCAGTGTAATTATTTTCCCTTTTGTATTCCCATCTACACACACACACACACACACACACACACACTAGAGAGAGAGAGACAGAGACACACACACACACACACACACACACAGAGAGAGAGAGAGAGAGAGAGAGAG